GACGCCAGCTCTGGTGCTCGAGAATGCTCATGATGCAGCGAGCGAAATCGAGTATAGCACTGTCATCCGGCATGAATATGCACAATCTGTTAGTGCTGCGTTGTTTGGAAAGGGATGATACTTGATGATTTTGACAGGTTATTTCGAAGCACCGGTCGTTCCTTACACGCCATATTCCACATCGTACAAGCGAGATACGCTCTTTGTCCCCGGGACAGGTGATCTTCTTGTTGATGATGCAAGACGTCGAGAGTATGCGATCTGCTGCTGGTCTCCCGTCTTCCCTAGTGTCATTCTTCACGAATGGCAGCCTGAATCGACAGAGCTATCTTATTGTATGCATGGAATCTATAGCTGACAAGGTAATGTTTGTCTTCAGATATGATGCGCCGAGCTAAATTGTCAACAGGTTATGCGTGGATGCATGGGTGAGATGAATTCCCAAGCTGTGGAACAGGCACTACCGCCCCATCTATCAGAGGAACTTCGCAAACTGCTTGTAGCCAGCACTCATCGCATATCTCGTGCTCGGGACGTCGCTGCCAAATACCTATTCAACCTGATTACGTCATTTCCTTCTCTCATGTGCGACCTGCCCCTGGTGTATGCAATCCTTGAGTGCCTTACTCTTCTTCGTCATGCATGCGAGAATGAGTTTACGGACGAGGTAACAGAAACATGATTCTATCAAGCTAGCTGACGTTTAATTCAATTGCAGTACAACCCAGTGTATGAATTCCACTCTGAGTGCACCGACATCACGTTGCAGCTCACGGACGACTATAAAGTACGAAATGATATCCTTGGACAGCTGCAGCGCAATGCCAACACGTGGTTTGAACTCGCACTCAGCCGGGCTCCCATTAAGCTCCAGTCGACGCTTCAGGTTCGTTTTGTTATTGTCATCTGCAGCTCTTTTCCTTCATGTCTTCCGTACAGAAATATCTTGTAGCTACGCAACCACTAATTGGTGCGGACTCTGCTGAGTTAGGAGCTTCTGTTGCCGAATCGTTTGCTAAGGCACTTGGTCCTGTGCACCGACAGCTTTGTAGGTGCTCGGTTTTAATTAACGTACAAGTATTCTGATCATTTTACATCGTAGCTTCTCTCTGTAGTCTATCAAACTGGAAGTCGGATCGTGCACGCGCTCTTGCCAGCCAATTTGCGAACAAATGTTATTTTTCAGGGGAGGTTGCTGGTTTGCGGCTTGCGGCTCGTAAAAGTAAGTTGGTCTATCTGATAGACGGCAGGGTACCTTAACGTGTGCAAGATCAAGATTCGCTGGATAAAGCAGCTCCTCAGATGCAATGCACTGGCGTTCAGCCTTTCAAGGACAAGATGGCCGATACGATGAACGACATTCGGAATAAACGTAGCTCTTTAACCGTTCAAGATCTGCAGCGTCTATTATTCCGTTGTGCAGCGATTCTTATATCGTTGGAGAAGGTTAGACCAAGCTTTATATGTTTCTGGCATCCGTTCTGACGATCTCTAGTGCGATTATACCTTGGTACATTTTCTGGTAGCTCTACCGTTTGAGGTTTTCACCCCTTCTGCGGTCGCTGCGGGTATTGAAACGTGGACGTGGGTCATCGCGGAACGTCCTAACATGGAAGTGGTCATCATGTGCGAAGTGCTCGCGTCTTGGTTTGGGACTGTGAAGGAGCGGAAGGGCGTGTTCTCGGCCTCATCAAAGTTTGTCGATTTCTTTTACATTCTAAATTCCCGAGTGATTAACAACCTACAGCTGTGATGATCCCTTTTACCATCCCATCGGTTATAGTCCAACCGACAAGGACGAAATCGATCGAGCAACGACTCATGCTCGTCGGCTGCTCATGCCACATACCTTAGTTCTACAGATGCTATTCAGTCGATTGCAAGCAGCCAGATATTGTCGCTCGACTGTGATGTTCCTCATCCAAAGACTCGTTTTGCGATCTGCGCAGGCGCACAAGTTATTTAGGTATGTTGCTCAAGTCAACTGTTCGAAGCTATATTGACAATTCGTCCAGTACTCATCCACTAGCTCGAGAGTTACGCTACACGTTCCTTCTTTTTGGACTGGAGACGTTGAAAAGCTCGCATCTAGATGCTGTCTGCGAGTGTATGTTGCGCGAAAGTCTATATCGCACGTGGTTTGCTGTTCGGCCGCAGTTAGTATCTTTCCCAGATACCAGTCTTTGTTCGAGTGCTTATGCTGTCTAGGTGGTCTTTTGGAGCTAATCGAGTGCAGGTTGACGCTGATATCAAAGTCATGTCCGAATTTCTTGTGCACATCCAGGGTTACTCGATCAGGAATATGACAACTCTGTCGAGCCTTGCTCCCCATCAGTCTGCGCTAAAGACGTCCCGTGAGCTCAGCGAACGTTCTTTTCTTCATGTTGAGCTGATCAGTTGTAGTTTATGCCACGCGCCTTAAGAACATCAACCAGCCACTCCGTCTTCTGATAGAGAATGAGATATTCAGGCTTACCGTCTGGGCTAATCCTAGCAACGAAGCGAAACGAGGCAGTGACCTTCATGGCTTACTCGAGCGCAATATGCTTGAGGTAAGCACCTTGATGGTTTTGCGAATGACCATTCATGTATTTCAATAGTCGACTTGGCCTGGCATAGTCCGAACAGTGTGGGAAGTAGACCCAGCCATAGCGGTCTATCTGACCGAACGTTTCAAAAGCCCAGCAGCTCACGCTGAAGTGCAGAATCTGGTTCGGTCCAACGCTAGCCTGGTAGTCAATACTCCAGAAGCTCTACGATTTTTGATTGGGGATTCATTCCGAGGTGGACAGAGACGAGAGCTGAAGGTGATTTCTTTTCTGAGATATTGTGATTCAAGAGCTTACGTTTTTGTCAGTACATCATCGCGTGGGCGCCTGTCACTCCTGTGATCGCTGTTACTTTCTTCGAGCGACGACACGGCAACGATCCGCTCTTGCTACAATATGCCCATCGAGTCCTGAAGCAACATCCTGTTGACCTAACATTCTTTTTCGTTCCTCAAGTTGTCCAGGCCCTTCGGATTGATGACCTTGGTGTGTATTTGTAGCCTCCTGCTGTTATGGTTTCTGAATGTATACTTTAGGATACATCGCGCAGTTCATCTTCGAAACCGCAAAGGTGTCTCAACTCTTTTGCCACCAGATCATATGGAACATGAAAGCCAATTGCTACAAGGATGATGCTGCCGAGATCGTGAGTTCGATGCATGGTTTTTGTCTCTGCTTCACTGACACGAGAGTAGGAAGATCCTATGAAACCCGCGCTAGATCGGATGATTGATATGGTGGTGGATTCGCTGTCTGGTGATGCTCGTGCCTTTTACGATCGGGAATTCGGATTCTTCAACAAGGTAACCTCGATCTCTGGGAAATTGAAGCCCTTCATCAAAAGGTCGAAACCTGAGAAAAAGGCGAGACCCTCGAGGATTGTCCTTGGATATGATTTAACGTGTCTTTTCAGGCAAAGATTGATGAAGAGATGGCCAAGATAGTTGTTGATATCGGTGTCTACCTTCCCAGTAACCCAGACGGTAGTGTTATTGACATTGATAAGAAGTCCGGTCGACCACTTCAAAGTCACGCCAAGGTGTGTAGATTATTATCTCGTCTATTTTTTGCTCACTGCATTCCCACCGAAGGCACCGTTCATGGCTACTTTTAAAGTGAGGAAGGAGCGCATCATTATTGATTCCAACCCAGAGTCTCTTTTGGATGGTGCACTCGAGAAACGCGAAGAGTATGACGTTTGGCAACAGGCTATCTTCAAAGTTGGCGACGACTGTCGACAAGATGTGTTGGCCTTACAGATAATCGCGATGTTCAAAAACATCTTCACCAGCATCGGGTTGACCCTCTATCTCTTCCCTTACAGGGTTACCGCAACTGCCGCTGGAGTGAGTACTTTTTCATTTTCATTCATACTGGACCACGCTCATGCACATCATAGTGTGGTGTCATTGACGTGGTGCCAAATGCAACATCACGAGATGAGATGGGAAGAGCCACAGTAAACGACCTTCTTGACTTTTTTATTTCGAAATACGGAGGAGAAGAGACCGTTGCATTCCAGCGTGCTCGTCTCAATTTCATCCAATCTATGGCTGGATATTCCGTTGCTTGCTATATCCTGCAAATCAAGGACCGTCACAACGGGAATATCATGATTGATGGCGAAGGGCATATCGTACATATCGGTAAGTTTTAGCTGTCTAAGAGTATGGCAAGCGGCATTGAACTTGATCCCAGACTTTGGATTCCTATTCGATATAGATGAGTTCTTCATTCCACGACTGCCGGTGTGCTTACTGACTTAGTTTTTGTTGTCTATCTACGTCCTGGAGTAAGTCCCTATCATTATACCTTGAGCAGTTCTCTGACTATACTTTGCAGGGAGTCAAGTTTGAACCTAGCTCCTTCAAGTTAACCCACGAGATGGTAGTTCTTATGGGTGGCAGATATTCTCAAGGTTACGAACTATTTCAACATCTGACCGTGAAGGCTTTTCTTGCTATCCGACCTCATGCAGATCAGCTCGTCAGCACGGTCCAGCTCATGCTGGGAACTGGTCTCCCGTCCTTCAAAGGCGAATCGACTATCAAGCGCCTCAAAGATCGATTTGCGCTTGGGTTGAATGAGCGTCAAGCTGCCGAATGGATTATGGGAATCATCCGCAATGCTCATGAAAATGTGTGGAGCACAGCCTACGATGAGTTCCAACGGGTGCGTGATTCTTGTTTGCGATCATTAGACATTCTCATATGATTTATTCAGATACAAAATGGTGAGTCGGATGCATACTCGATGCGATCCCTTTGGGACCTGAGGCGTTTGCAGGCATACCGTACAAGTAGCAAATACTACTCAAGAGTTAATGGATGTATCGAATTCAGGTATAGAAATGCATGAACCACATTTTAAGGTCTGGGGCGCATATTTCCTCAACAAGCATTGTAAGAATGCAAGCTTGCTATGATGGCACAGATCCCGTAGTACGATGAAGGCACTATGGCCGAGTGGTTAAGGCGAGAGATTCGAATGTGTGATATCTCTTACGGTTCCCGTGCGCAGGTTCAAATCCTGCTGGTGTCGTTTTTGATGTATGGTGTCATATTACGGCTTCTGAGAGTAGTACACAGTCATAGTAATAAAGACGACTAGTCCACCATACCGGAGGAGCAAGGTAAATATTGGGATGCGCCGGGCGAGCGCAGTCTTATAACTTCGAAAGTCCCACCTTTCGATACCCGTTGGGCGCTTCCAAACACATGTTTTTAATAATCCTTATTGCAAATATGCAGCAAGCGCCTGTCTATCTCTCGTACCACCCTGTCGGAAATTTCCAGCGTGCCTTCGAATTCAATTTAAGACATTTTAAGGGATCTTTTCACACGGTACACTTATAATGCATGTTAATGGTGTACGAAAAAATTTCAAGGCACTTATAATGCCTGTCGAAATCATGTCAAGGCATTGTAATGATCCTGGGAGGCGTGTGATGAGCCTAACATCTTAAGGCCATAAATTGATAGTGTAAGCATTGTAAAGGGTAGCAAGGTAAATTCGGACAATTTCAAGACTCGTCGCTTGTATTTCGATGCTCTTGCTCAAATTCCAAAATAATAATAATAAAAACAACAATATTGGTCATTCATACTGATCGCGATAAAGGTAAAAAAACAGTAATCGTAATAATACGCACATTGTAGTGATCTGACGGCTGAAGGTCGTGTGCGTGAGGGCTTGGTCCTGAATAGAGAAGCGAAAAGCATAATGAGGCGTGAAGGTTGGGCAGTGAGTGTGGGTCGAGGAGGTAGAGGTGGCTGGGTGGACAAAGTTATATTGGGAGGTGAAATTTTACTGGGTGCTGGGAATGCATATGAGGGGACTGTCAGAATCATGAAAATATAGGAGGTGGCAGGTGACTGACCTGGCCAACGACGAAGGCGGATTCAGCTTGAGAAGCCTTGGTGACAATACATGTGGGAGGGCACTGGATGGAGATATGATGGTTGAGGAGGATGTTTGAACTGTCACTGAAATGTAGATTAGAATCGTTGTTGAGGGGGAGAAAAATTTAAATGTTGACGACATACCAAGACTTGATTTCAATGGACAAGCGTTGCCTCTTGAGAAAGTGTTGGTAGTGCATGGATTAAGATTCAGATGAATAAAGAGTTAAGTTGTCAGCGGAATCTTCAGAGTCGACAACGATGACGACGTCGTCTGTTCAGAGAGGTGGAAATGGTTGCAATGAGAGAAGACTCAATAGAAGCGTTGATCAGAACAAAGCTCAACTTGTTTGGCCTTGTGATTATACTACCCTAATTGGGATGCAATGTTATGACTTAGTAATCATTTGAATGCTGAATCAAGAGACGGCAGAATGTGCTGTCGGGCAGGGCGTCCGAGAATTAATAGCTGTTGGAAGGTGACAATAGGTAAACTGGAGTTAGCATTGATAGTTGTAGGTAAATATAAACAAATTAAATGACGACAGGATCAACAACTGAGACTTAGATTCCATTGACACTAACATTACTTCCTCCCTGAAGCCTTCCTCGATTTGGCACCACCATTGCGTGTAACACGCTTGACGGCTGGAGGAGGAGCCAAAGAAACAACAGGGACCACGTCAGAGTCCACCGCAATTTGAGCAGCCTGAGTGCTAGCTTGACGTTGAGCCGCAGACACCCTACCGCCCTTAGACTTGGATGCAGTTGGCGCTGTGTCAGTTTGAGCGCCGTCCAGCGACAGCTGGTCAATGTCAACTTCGAGTTGCAGCTGAGTGGTGGTGGCGGGCCCTCCTGGATTGCTGATAGACATTGCAGTCTGGTAGTTGACAGTGGTGACTGCATTCACGTCAGTGCGACTCACAGATGCCAGAGCATAAGTGATGTGCGAAGATGATGGAGGTTGTGGTGCGGGGATGGGGATGGAGGCAGGATCTTCTAACTGCTGTAAGAAGTCATCTTCCCAGGTGTGAGGTTGGGAGGTGGAGGGTGGAGTAGGGGTACCACTAGTAGCTAGGACTGAGCTCGTGCCGAAAACCTCCTGGTTGTAGTAATTGATCACACTGGTAGCCCATGGGCTGCGCTTGAATAGTCGCTCCAGGTAAAAATCAAAGTCTTGCGCATAGTCAATTTTCGTGGCTGGTCCGGTTGCTGTGAGCTCTTGATCATGCGTTAACAAGAAACACGTCTGAGAACGAGACGAGATCAGCATGCATGCAGGAGTTAGAAGATTATAATGCGCTCACCACAATAGCGGCACCTGCAATTAGCCCTTCTGTGACACACTGCGTAGACCAACGCTGACCCCTGGCCTTCGGATGTCCTTTGGTCTTCCCAGACAGTGAAGCCTTCCCGAAGATTTCCACTCGAATGATCTGAGGGATGGAGTCAGCATTAACGTACTGCTCAGACAGCAGCTGAAAATGTCATGCACCTTGGCCATGACTGGTGTTTTGAGGAAGTCGTCTGGAACGAGAGCAGAAGGATCCATGAACAGAATGGGGGCTAGACGTGTATACTTTTCTCCACCGACATCCTTCTTTAAAAGTGCAAGGAGTTGCGCATTCTCCTTCTTTTTGGCGGGCTCGTCAGTGAAGACAGTCGGGTCGAGTTTTAAAGTAGAGAAGATCAAACCAGCGCAGTCCTTGAGACTATGCAGTATGTTTGACCTCTCGGAACTAACCGCTGCACGAAACTAGAGTATCTCATACATCAGTGTTGATGCGCAGACAGAGGGAGAATCGGACATACCACTGATCCAAACTGTGGGTAGGTCTCCATTGGTTTATGCAAAGCCTTGGGAATGCACTGATAAAGCTCGGCCATCGCACCATTGAGCTTCGCTTCAGGCGAAGACCAATGCGTATCGCTGCGTGGATCAATGTCTGGCTGGGGCTTTGTCGGAAAGAGCCCACTCATGACCCAAAAGTAGTTAAGCATGGCGTACATCTTGCCTGCGCGGGCAATGTCATTGTCGATGGTTGCTGTCTTCTTCAGAACTCGGTTTCGGCTGCGTGCAGGGACAGCAGCCTGAAGCATAGCATGGTCTTTCTTGAGAGCGCGTAACTCAGACCAAACCGCGGTATATGCTTGTTGTGCCATTTCTAGTGCCTAGAGATTCAACTGCTGCATCAACTGAACCAAGAGAACGGCAGCATGAGTAAACTCACCTTGCGGACTTCGTGCATGGGTGCGTCAGGCTGAGGGATTGTCAAGATCGTCCTCAGAGTGTCGAGTTCGCTCCGTGCATCAAACTCGTCGTCTTGCTCATCGTTTCCAGATTCGGACTCAGTAGCCTCAATAGCGTCGAGTTCTGCTGTGAAGTCGTCTGAGGAATCTCCAGCCTGGGGCATGACAATGAAGCTAAGACAAGCAAATTAAGTCTGAACAGTGGAGATATGAGGAGGCACGACAATTTCACTTGCCTGGTTCTATGTTATAAAGACATGACCCTGCACAGGGCCAGTTGCTC